CCCCCCCCCCTAAAATTATACATATATAGATATTTCATCAATCCAAACCTCATTTTCATATTCATATTTTTTAATTCATATAAACCTTTTGGAGAGATTCTTTTAGCAGCCCCCCCCCCCCCCCCCCCAAATTCCCCCAAATAACAACAACAAAAAACGTATATTAACTTAGTCAGGCTAAATGAAATGTGAATGCTTTGTATAAATTTTGAAAGATACAATATACCGCAGTATTAATCGTCATGGCTTTGAGAGTAAGATCACTTACATTATTCATTGTATTGTTAACCCCTATGTGACCAACCGTTTGCGCATAAGTCCCGCACTATGCTGCACGCTCTTTGTTTATCATGCCTTTTTACATGTACGAATAAATAAACTTGAAATCTTTCTACTTACATGTACGGCGTTACACTGATTTGTCTGAGTAATTATGCGAGATCATAATTGGTTGAACACGTGGGGTGCGAGTGAGACATATGGAAAATGTAAACATTTAAATTTTTAAAATTGCTTTTGTTTTTTTTACCCATTAAACCAGAATCATTTCGAATAAACTTTCGTGGAACAATTTCCTTCGCATAAATTTATTTCGTACAAATTTCAGGTACCAGGTGGCCAATAGTTGGTCGAAAATAATATGGCACTAAATTTCAAAACACAACGACTATTATGACACTGGTCTAAATATTGGACACTGATTAAACAAAAACATCAATCAAACTAGACGCACACACAATACACAATTAGACATACGATTAAACGGACTTTCCAGAGGTGTACCTAAAGAGGGGGGGGGGCTAAGAGAGAGAGAGAGAGAGAGAGAGAGAGAGGGCATATCTCTCCGGGTACGAGACCAAGGGGATGCCATATTGTGCTTTGGTGGTATTTCATTGATTAAAATAATGGGTTTCAGAGCTGAGATGAGAGACGGCTTAAAAAATGAATCGTGTTCCCTGGCGCCAAACAATAGCTCTGGGGCTTACAATTTGACGCACTCACTATTAGACTCACTCAAACACATTGACATGTTAACTTAGTGATAATGAGTAGGTTTATGATTTAATATATATATATATAGGGCCTATATATATATATATATATATATATATATATATACACATATATATGTAACAAACTCATTCTATTTCACCTCACAATTCCTATATTTGATAGTTGATCCTGTCTGGACTATTTACTTACACGCATACCATTGAAATAAATGTCAAATCCTCCAACAGACATATAGGATAAATCCCACCCACACGCATAACCAAAAACACCATCAAGCATAGAACAAAATCTTACCGGTCAACACAACGATCGTCTGCTCGTTACCAGCACCACACTTATGTACGACCGGCAGATGGCGCTGTGATAAGTCTTAGTTAACTCATTCATTTTGATTTTTATTTCATTGCCACGCCTCAATCCTCATGATTGTTAAATCCACTCAGTGACGTAGGATGGGTTGGTGAGGGTGTGTTCCACCATGGATGTCACTTTTTGAAGGGCGGCATGTTTGGCCAACTGTAGACGTTGTTTGTTTGTTGGTGTTTTTTCACGGAAGGGGTGGTAAAAATCTTGCCCAGCCAGGAGTGTTCTAACCCAAGCTCCGCCACTGAATCCACTGAATAAATTATTCAGCTTTCACTAAACTTGAACATATCAAACTAGAGTCTAACTGATCAAAATGGCTCTGTATTTCAGATAACAGTATGCGCAATCTACGCCAAAAAAAAAAAAAATTGATTGCAGTCAGCGGGGAAGTCTTTGAAATTGAATTAGTAGGCTCGTATTCATTGCACTGTAGCCTACAGGTAGCGTTACTTTTCATTCCGACATTTTGAAGAAATCGAATGTGGCTAAATTCTGCATTTTCTTACAAACGTAATTTTAAGAAATTCCACAATCAGATTGAGAGTTTTGAAGAAATTCCACAATCTGATAGAGAGTTTTGAAGAAATTCCACAATCTGAGAGAGGTTTTAAAATAAATTCCACAATCTGATAGTTTTGAAGAAATTCCACAATCTGATAGAGAATTTTGAAGAAATTCCACAATCTGATAGAGAGTTTGTTAAAAACAGATATTATATGAGTGAAGGTGCTGTGGAAATTCGTGCTATCTCTACATAATCATTTATTTTACTGTGGGGAAATGAAGAAGAAAAAATGTTTAAAAGTTTTAATTTAAAGCTTTTTTGAGGATTATATTATTTATAACAATTTGTTTATTTGTAATTTTGTAACACATTCTTCATAAATTTTAAAATAAAAAATTTAAAGATATGCTAATATGCTTCCATATATTTTAAAAGATATTTATTTTTAAATTTTAAAAGATATATTTTTAAAAATGTTCCTTTGACTAGCTTCTTTAATATAAAACATTGTGGGTCTCTGGACTTTGTGTAGCTTATGGCATATGGCCTCAGCAAGTCTTAGTGTAAGTCAGGCTCTGTCCTTCTTAACTGTTTTTTTAAGCCTATGGATGGGTGATTGAAAATTATTTTGATTCCTCGCTGTTGAAAATTTACAAAATAATGAATATTAATTACGCATCGTTTAACTCGGCTTATTGTTTTTTGTTGTGTAGTGGCAGAAGTGGCGTCACATTTTATGCTGTCTAGTTGTGCTCCATGTTATTTTCATCACACAAAACGTTGAACTAACCTTGGTGGTTGCCTCTGCTTATTTAATTATCTTCCTTGTGAAATAACTTAGCAATTTGATATTTTCAACACCCCCCCCCCTTACCTTTTCACCAGTGGCGTAGCGAGGGTGTTTGGCGCCCGGGGACAAGATTCGCGCCGGGGGACAAGATCCATTTTTAGCACCCCTTTTTCTTTTTTTCAACTCTCAAACCCATTATTTTCATCAATAAAATAATATCAAAGAACATTTTGGCGCCCCTAATTAGCTGGCGCCCGGGGACATATTTCCCCCCTGCCCCACCACGCTACGCCTCTGCTTTTCACCCCTAAAAACACGTGGAATTTAGTGAAAGGTAAATTGAAGCCTATTTGAAAATTATATCTCGGTTTGTGTTGTACATCTCGTTAGCTTGCCCAACCTCAAAACAAGCGCCAGTTGCAAAACAAGGGAAGCGTAGGTAACAATTCTAATTAAATATTAAGTATGATTAGTGATTTTCTTTATAATTTTAATATAAAATTCATTAATACATTTTTGAATATGCCCTCTTACCCATCTAATGTAAATAAAAGACGAATAGGTTAACCCTCTGGAGACGTAGAGTTTTCGGGGTGTTTGTGCCAAAAAGACGGAGGCCGTTTTACGAGCTCGGCACTCGCATTGTGCGTAAAAAAATTTATAAAAAATAAATTATTCCCTTAATATATGTAAAACTACATATATTCTTGTAGGAAATTGGGCTGATGTTAAGGAGGGATGCCACGGCGTCTTTTGTGTGTTTATTATAGTTGCAGTGAAATAGGGTTTAGGTTAAGTTGAGGGATCCATTTAGGGTTCAGGCTAGGCATAAGCATAGTGCAGTATAGAGATGATTTAGGTTTAGGGTTAGGCATAGTATGATACGATTGATGTAGGGTTGAGGTTAGGCATAGGGATCGATTTAAGGATACATTCGTGAAATTCGATAAAAATGTGGCATTCGTCCTTAAAATTTACCGGAAATTGAATGAGCTAATACTAATACAATCTTTATGAATCTAACTGAAATATCAAAATTTATGCAAATGGGCTACCCTAATTTGCATAATTTATGCGTGTAATTTTTGTTACAGCTAGACTAAACATGACTTACTTGTATCAATTGTGTGAATTTTTTGTTTTGATGGATGAAGTCTAAATAAGACGTAACACTTATGTTTTTGGGAGACAAGGCCCTTCAGATACATCTGACATCTGGCACATGGTTCTACTCCCCCCCCCCCCTTACAGGCCCCCATTTATGACCTAGGGACCTTCTCTTAGGCTGGATGTTACTGAGAAAGTTGTTTGCATATCTATTGGTCTCTCTCATAAACAATGTTTTTTGGAGATAAGGCCCTTCAGATACATCTGACATCTGGCACATTGTTTCTCTCCCCCCCCCCCCCTTACAGGCCCCCATTTATGACCTAGGGACCTTCTCTTAGGCTGGATGTTACTGAGAAAGTTGTTTGCATATCTATTGGTCTCTCTCATAAACATTTGAGTGATATTTAGTGTAAAAAAAATAGCATAAAGTACTAAAATGTGGTGCTTATGCCTTATTTATAGGACTTATGTTGTCTAAAAATTCAGAGGGGTAATCTCTGTCCATTTGAGGACCCCTAATACTAGTAATACTAAAACAAAAGTTCACAACATTAGCATTACCCTCAATTTGAAAGTCTTCATTAATTTCCTGGTTGTTTTCATAAGTTTCAGTGTCAGATTCACTGCTAGAATATCAAAATCACTAAGCACAGTTTGATCAGAGTCTCTGTCAGACATGTTCGAATTTCACAATGTAACTACACAAAAAAAAAAAAAAAAAATTTCTGCACACAAATAAATTGACTTCACCTTCAACGAACGCCGCCATTACAATGCCGGGATGTGCAGGAATACG